TTATACGTCATGCTGAAGTTGAGCTGTGGCGCTGTATGAGACAGTAAGCTCCTGCAACCATTTTTGAAATTCTAACTTAGAGTAGAAATTCATTTTTTAATCGAAGTCTTCCTTGGCGTTGCCGTCCTAATTGCGTAAGGTCCCTAAAGTCCCAAAGGCCACGGGGCGTGGCCTTTGACCACTGTGATGACGAATAAGGGTATCGACCACACTAAACCACTGTCGCTTTGTTTTTTACCTCAATGTGAACGTCAAATAAAACGATTTTTCAGTGCGTGACAATTGCGTGATACGTTGACGCGGGAAGCGTTTACGGTGTACTCTTAGACAACAGCAAATTAACCAATCAGATTGCGAAATCACTGCCAATTGTGGTAAATGTCGTAATGATTCGATTTAGCGCCCTCGTTCCAGTAAGCACCCCTCTCTATAATAGGCACCTCCCTCGAATTTGTTTTTGGTAATAAGCGCCCTAATTGAGTACGCACCCTTATTCTAATTTAGCATTATATTCCGATAAGCGCTCCTATTCCGAAGATCGCCCTTCTTCTGTTTCAGTGATAGCACTGTTTGAGTTCATGTACACTGAAATCAACCACCCCATTACAAAAACAGTGGACTTTGTCCTTAGTCTTTCAATTACTTTGTTTGGCACATTCTGCATTTCGCTAAAAAGAAATAAGCGCCCTGTCCCTAATTAGCGCCCTTTTTCGAATAAATGCCCTTCCTAGAGGTACCAATTGCGAGCACCCCGGGTGCTAAATCGAAAAATTACGGAATGAAGTTAGTAGTAATAAAATGGGGAGGGGGACGATTCGAAGTCATAACGTCAACACCAATATCCACTTTTTTTTTTTTATTAATTAAGAATGACCAGAGCTAGACTATAGCATACAAACGGTGGTTGTTCGGCACTCAATGAAAAGTTTGGGTGGTGAAGCCGCAACAACGGGCAAACAGTCCTACACTTTTGATATCGCCCAAATATTTTCTTGGAGATTTTACACTCATCCCCTCAATTTTTGCGCTCTTGGTTGGGAATATTAAACGCAGGCAATGCAATGACAGCTGGCTTTTCTTCAAAGACGCAAAATTCTCAACAGGAAACTCACTAGGCAAGTAAAGCGAGGACAGAATACACTCATCAATGCTATATTACAGTTGTATTTCTGTTTATTTTGCAGAAATAGATTGGAAACTACATTCCATTTTAAGATCCCGGCTAAAAAATATATCATTTCCTTTTAACTTCAATTTTCAAAATAATCTTAAATAATGATTTTCCAGTGTCATGTGTAACTAAGAACCTTAATTAAATAGAAAAGACAAAAAATATTCCCACTAATTATGCAATGTTACTTTTTTACAATCAGCTATTTCATTCACTTTAAAAAGATGCACTGTACTTGTTGTTTGCCATACTCTTTTGTCTCTATTTGTCATTCCATAACATCTAGAAAGCAGGTTTCTCCTTGACTTCACAGATGAAAAACTTAACAAAGCTCAGTCAAAATCATACAGTCAAAAACCTTTCGAACCCTATTTTCGGACTGCTTCAGGTCTGGTCGGGTTTTAGTATATTACCATTGCACCTGTATATTCTCTATTAAATAATCGGTCCTATATAATTATAAATAATTTTACAACAAAACTAGCTTAAATAAATCATGAGATAATCAGCACCATTCCTGTTCATTCTATCAACATTCTTTCAAGAATGTTCTCCGATTTAATCAGCTATCTAATCTCTCATACACAACCACTGCAAGAACCCCGAGGCTGAGGATCGATATCAACCGGGTCACAAATCTTACTGTTGACGCATACCCTGTCGAAGAAAGGCAATTTGGCGCTCTATAATGCTTTCCTAAATGTAAAAAAAGTCGTGTAACTGACGTTCTTTAACTCGTGATATCCTAAATAAGTTTTTTCTCATCGACGGAGATAAATTTTTTTTCAGAAATCGTCCCCTCTAAACGCTAAAGGTGACATCCACCACAATGCCCCATAAGATAATTACGGCGGTTTAGGCGGAGGCTTTCTTCTAGGCGATCCAAAACTCTTCTTTTTCTTGTTAAAGCCAATCGGTACCTCCCAAACCTTTCTTGGTATGTGCGTATAATACGTGAAAACAAATGCTCTGGTAATGCCCTGTCCACAGCGAGTGTGTTTCAAGCTCTGCATTCGTTCCACGTTGTCTTCTCTTCGCTTCAACAGCAACGCTTTCCTTCTGGCGGCTGCCTGAGCAGATCGCATGCGCGCTAAAGCTTCCAATCTGCGAGCCATCTCGATGCGTCTCTGTTCCTCTCGAAGTCGTTCTTGCTCAGCTTCCTCTCGCCTGCGCTTTTCCTCTTCAGCCCGCTGGCGTTCTGCTTCTTCCCTGCGCAACCTTTCCTCTTCTTCCTGTCTCAACTTGGCTTCCTGTATCTCAGCTATTCGCCTCATCTGTTCACGATACTCCCGTTCTTCCTGCAGCCTCCTTAACTCTTCTTCTGCTTCGCGTATTTTTTCCTCGTCCAACATTCGTTCTTCCTCTTCCCTCTGAAGTTCAAGGAGCCTCTGTTCCTCAAGTCTTTGCTCTTCTTCCAAGCGCTCCAGTTCTTCTTTTCGTCGCCGAGCTTCTTCCATTTCCGCCATTCTCTTCTCGCGATTCATTTTTTGCTGCTCAAGTTCTTTCTCTCGCTCTTTTAACTCTTCTTCTCGTTTCTTCTTCTCTTCTCGTTTCCTCTGAACTTCAAGCCTTCTTCGCTCAGCCTCTGCGGCTCTTCGTAGCTCTCGTTCTTCACGAGCCTTTTTCTTTGCCTCTTTCAACTTTTCCAGCGCCTCTTGTTCCTGTTGTTTCGCTTCTTCCTCGTCCGCCAATCTTTTAATCTTTTCTCCTTCGATATTTCTCTGCTTCTCTTCTGCCTCCGCTTTGACTTTGGCCGCCTCTTCTTCGCGCTCTTTTAACAAACGCATTTCTTCCTCTTTCATTCTCTTCTCTTCTTCCTTCTTTTTCCGTTCCTCTTTCCTTTGGTCCGCTCTGATTTTAGCCAACTCCTTCTTTGTCAATTTTTTAGGTTTGGAAGGTGCATGCGCGTCTTTTTTGTCAGTTGGAACTTCTCGAGCAACTTGCGGCATTTCTAAGGTCTGCACAGACTCCTTCCTTGTTTTTGTATCATTAACAGCAGAAGCGCTACCACTTGGCCGGTTATCAGTAGCTGACGTGACCTTACTCTGCTCCTGGATAAACTGACGTAGTTCATCGTCCATTCCATCTAACATATCTGGGGTGTTGAATGCTTCAAAATCTATGTTTTCAGGATCTATTGTGTTCTTGTCTTTTTTCTTCGTAGATTTCCCTTGTTTTCCGGATTTCTTCTTCGCATCGGCTTTCTAAATTATTTAAAAACAGAAAACTATTTATGTGATTCACGGTTTCCTATACTTAAGTTTAGCAAAAGATATTTTTTTGTGGCTTAAGATTGGACATTTTATGGCTCTAACAAAGCCAGCGAAGGGGCTTCTTATAACCATGTTCTCAGAAAAGAGCTTAGCCGCCTTGTTGGTTTACAATTGACTCGGTTAAATTTCTGCTGCAAGACAATTTATCGTAGCGTAGAGCTGCTAGGTATCTCATATGAAAGAGGTAAAATATTTTACCAAAAAAATGCGGGGACCATGCGTGCTGCACAATTCCATCAGCAACACACAGAACGAAAAATATCGTTCCAAAATATGTATCAGTTCGCACCAATTATTAGCCAAGTCATTTTCCCCATATTAGGAATGAGGTTTGTAAAAAAAAGGGTTGCCTGGTTACGAGTAATTCTCATGACATCCATCACTCACCTTTTCTTTAAGTTTACTTGGTGTCTTATTTTTATTAACAAGTGCCGCCAAATCAGACAAATCGTTCTTTTTCTCTGCTACAGGCGGACTTGTTCTAGTGACCAGTCCTCCCGAAGAGGACTCGTTTCCTTCTCCTTCTTTTCCAATCCCCTCCAGCTCCAGTTTACCATCTCTAGGTGCATCATGTTTGTTGAACAAACTGCTGACTATCTGACGGCGGGCCTCTCTTTCTTCGTCTGTTGGTTCTTTCACCTCTTTCGCCTTATCTTCGCTATTTAATAAGTTCAATCCTGAATAATCAGGTTTCGATTCAGTCTTGTTTATGCCAGACAGCTTTTCACTGACGTTTGACGAGATGGGTTTAGATTGCTTATTTATTTTAGGTTTAATAGCTTCAGGTTTAGTTCGGCTTATCGGTTCTTTTTCCATACTCGAGAGGCTTGACTTTTCCACAGCTTTCTCTTCATTCTCTTTTTCCTCAGCCCCGGTCTCTGAGCTCCGAGGGCTTCGTGCAGAACTATCGCGAACTTGGGGCTCTTGCCCAGACTCAATGTAATTTCGCACGGCCTCTCCGATACTCACGGGAACACTTCTCTGTTCTTCTGTTACTGGGGACGATGGCCGTGACTTCTCTATGTCAATGGTTTCCTTATAGGGAGAGGGAGCTCGATCATCGTCCACCTGTTGAATAAACAATGAATAACGTAACTAGCAGCGAAGGCAAATCCCTCAAAAATTAAAACAAAGTATACTGGTATGGAGCAGGAGCCCATTACTTGGTGTTTTCACAGACAAATCTATTTTTAGTTTGCATTTGCCGCGAAATGGGATTCCCCACGGAATCCCCTTCGACCATTCACGATTAGCGCGTTGTTAATTTCCCAGGAAAAGATAGTCTAAAAATAAACCGTTCTGTGAAAATGCCGTAACATTGGAATAGAAAATAATAGTCTAAAAAAGATAGTCTAAAAATAAGAAAAGATAGTCTAAAAATAAACCGTTCTGTGAAAATGCCGTAACAGGAATAGAAAATAGAAAAAAAAACAGGGGGTCAAAATTTTTCAAAGGAAGGGGGGGCTGGGTTCACGGTTACAAATTTCCGCTGGCCTTACGTGAGGAGGGTTATGCTGCTGTTCTACTCTGTGTATCCGCGAGCACTTATTCATACAACGCGAGGAATAGGCAGATGGAGTATCTAGCTCTGTCGTACTGAAAAAGATTTATGTAAGCAGATTCTTCGGATTCACGCGTTTTCATGACCTGAATTATAACGATTGTATGTTGTTGCTTTCTAAAAAGACAGAGTATCCCTCAATGGGAGAGGGGGAATCACGGTACTCCAGGGTGACTACGCCCCCGACAAAATATGATTTAAAAAGTCATTTGGCTTTTCCCATACAGATAAAGAGCTCGGGGAGTAGGCTTTCTTTACATCTAATAGATATTCGAAACTAAGACAGTCGATCTTATTTAAAAGGATGGCTTACAAATGACGTGTTTCTCGTCACTAATATCATCCATTATACAACAGCTTTCGACTTTTTATCCTAAACTGTAGCCTAAGAGCCGAAATAAAAAAAACGCCGCAATTCATGGTACTCGCATTTCCATACTAAGGTGGACAAAATCTAACCTTGGCGGAAGACCAAATTTTATACTGTTTCGCCAATTAACTAAGCAATGACTTAAAGAAATGTATGGACATTCTTTTGGGTATCGTCAGTTCAGCCATCTGCAACATGACCAGCTCATCACTATAAAAGGTATTCGTCACTTGGAACGATTAAAAGCTTCACGCGCAAAAATTCTGTCAATTTTCTTTGAATCGCAAAGTTCTAATATATCAGTGAAAATTCAACCTGGGATGAACTGATCGTCCAGGAAAGACGTTTCTAAGAATTTGTCAAGGAAAATTATTCTTTTAAAAGTATGTCACTACCCACGACACAGTATTTTAGTAAGCAAACGGAAACAAACATGATATTAAAGTTACCTTTCCCGCTGGTTCCAATCTAGCTTCCGGTAAGAGTTCTTTGTGGAGTATTTGTTCAGCTTTGATCGGCGCGGGAGAACTGGAACGAGGCACTGCCGCTGGTGTGGATGCTGTTTTCTCTGGTGCATTCAGGAGGAACTCTTTTCCTTCTAAGAAATTTTAAGGGCAAAGAAAAACGTGAGAATTGATCACATATTTATAACGGTGGTGGTAAGAAAATAAAGAAACACGTTTACGTGAAAATTAGCAAATCAGTTTTACACTTTGAATTCCTAATGAAAAAACCCTGAGTGCATACTCTAAAGCACACGATATACTTTCTAAATCGTAATCGTTTTATTAACTTCGGCTGTCATAATGCCTTTGAGTATTGAGCTTTCACTAAAACTCTAAAAGAATGGAATTCCTCACCGATTATCATGAGAGATAATTGGGACTATTGTAGATTCCTTTCAAACCTCCGATTGGAATCATTATTTTACTCAATGATTTTGCATATCTGTGTTGTTTTAATTGAATATTCATGTTCTTGGTTACCTAAAGCGTTTCTGCATGCGCACGAACGGTGATCATTACCTTTCTTTATTCACATTGTTTTAACAGAAAAAGCAATGTCACCAAAATAAAACTTATACTCTGGTAATCTGGTGGAACTCTATTAGCCTTCCTAAATTTAGTTTCTTGCACCGGTTATCGTCCAATATGGATGTATAATTAATGTCATTCATCAAATCTTAAAGGCCTCCAACACAAAAGACACATATGGTGTGTGATGAGTTTATAAATCATTCCCCTCGAAATCCAGAGAGCGGATTTTTTTTTACGTCGTTTTGAAAGATATGAACAACGATTGTGTAGAATTGAGTAAACCTCTTCGAGAACGTTCTAACCATTTACGTAGAATGAGTTTGAAGAAAGCAAAATCTGTGTAAAGAGATTGAGATATCAGCAAAATCTGTTTGTTCAGCTAACCGTACTCACCCTGGTTGTAAAAGTGCAAATTTACATTCAAACGAAACAATAAAATCCCCGAAAGTTCAGGACATAAATAAAATTTATCGACTACCACAGTAACGAAAGCTTCTGTTGATGAAATACTCGACACAACTAAGTAGCAACCCCGAAAGCAGAAAAAATTAATAAGTAATGTAAATTCAGGGATAAATAATGGCGTTTTTTTCTTTTTTTTTATATCTTCATTGTTTTCAAAAACGGTTAAGCTTTTTTTAACAGCAGTCTGTTCTCAATAAAACTTAAACATCTTACCTCTAACATGGTTTGTCAAGTTAACATCCGGCGAGGAAGGTGCAGAGTCTTGAAAAACGGCGACACTTTCATTATGTATGACTGTGTCAGCGGTAGTTTGTTTCACCAGGTGCGAGGACTGGGCCACTACAGTTTCTGTTTCTTTGAGCTCCTGATTATCGATTATGGACGGCAAAGTCTCACTTTCATGTAGCTCCGGTGATGTGAGTACTGACGTCAAAGCCCCATCTGCGTGCACCTCTATTATTGGTGTTTCTTGCTGCTTCTCGTCGAGTTCTGTTGCATCCGTCAGAGTTTCTACTCGAAGGGCGAAGAAATAGCATTTTTGTGAGAATTACCACTAAATAGTTTTACAAACAAGCGAGGAAAGAGTTTATTCAGCCTTTCAATATAGGCACCCCTAACGATAAAAAAGCTGGTCCGGGTATGAAAAGCGACTGCACTCGCAGACTACTAACATTTTCTTATTTACTATCAAATGGCCTTTATACTTCCGCGTACTGACGAGATACATCCTACGTTCGATGTTCTTTTGCACGATACTCGAGAAAAAAACTACTTCATCGTGGTTTATACTGAAAAGGCTTGTACTGGGGTTAAAGACGTCCAAATGGTTCTAGTCCAAAGAGTGATCAATCAGGTAATCAGGTAATCTAAAATTAAAATTTCTACCATGTTTAATTACATTAACAGAATCTGAGATACCTGGATGAGCGGCTCCTGAGTCCAAGCTTTCTTCCACGTTTACAGGTAGCGAAGAAGGACATTCCTCCATAAGGGGGACATCAAAGGTAGAAATAGCCAGCTCTGCAACAACAAAACAATTGATATATTTATTGTGTGAGTCAATTTTCAGTGGAGTGTGGAAATCCATTAACCATTAGCCATTTCTTTGGTTACTATTTACAGCTCTCTGAAGACAATGTGGAAAATTTGTGCCACTCCCCAACCAATCAGATGCAAAACTAAACCAATCACGACTGGGTAAACCGCATTTTTCCGCGTTTCATATCAGTGCCTTGGACACTTTTACCTCAAATTCTCATTGGCTCGTTGAAGTAGTTGCCTTTTTTTTGATTGGTTGTTGTTGTAACTTTGGGTCTGGACCCACGACACTCCTTCGATGATATTCCAAGATTTACTTGAGCTTCATTGAGTCACCTTCTTCTCTGCGCATTTTTCCCAATAAAAAAAATGTTTTGCGAGTGACTGAAATTTCTCTTAATGGTCTCTCTAATGAGCAATCACATTCCGTAAGTGACCCCTAAAGTTTCATGTTTTGGGTAGACCTGGAGGTTTCACTGATCTCTGTCATAACAACTAGATACAACGGATCTTGAAGGGGAACTTCCTATTACCAACGTGTCAACTTCTTTAAATCATCAAGTTGTGCAAAATCCTTTCGGTAGCTTTGTGAGTGAACTACACCGTATTCTACAAGGATCTAACAAAGCTTAAAAAAACCTCACCGCCTGTAATGCCAGCTTTCTCATCACTTTCAATTGTTTCATCGGGACCAATATATTCCCCTCGCTCAATGATACTAGGCCATTCCTCGTCAGCGGTTTCCTCTTCTAAAAGCAAATCTTCATTTACTCCTTCGACCATCGATTGTGACCGAACAATAGTCTCTGAAACCTGCGCCAAGTCAGCCTCACTTCCAAGAGTTGCTCTTGTTTCCGCGCCTTCCTGAGCAGTTTTTGCGCTGGATGTCCTTGTGTCGATATAAGCTCCATCTCGCATGTCTTCTTCTCCCGTAAGACCACTTTGCCGACTCCTTACAAGTCTCTCGCGCACGGAAGACGACGATTTCCTATCACCTTCTTCAGCAGCGGCTCTTATAGCATCTTGCCATTCCTCGCTGGCGTCGGAAGAAATAGCCGATGATCCTCGAGATCTAACCATTGTTTCACGTCGAGATTGCACTGAGGGCGAACGGGGTGATGGCGAAGCCAAGCGAGAAGCAACCGATGGACCTCTTAGGGGTGGAGAAGGGCTTTTCACAAGATTGTCACGGGCTGGTGATGACACTTCGGAACACGCAGTTTCTCTAGAAACTCGCCCCATTGGATGTCCGTCGCCATGATCAGCCATGTCGTCTCGTTCGATGAACAAATCATCTCTCATTCCAAGCCACGTCGGTGAAGCATCATCTCGGTCCATTTCAGCCAAATCTGGAGAGCTACCAATACATTCCACGTCACGTGACATTGCAGATTGACCCCTATTGTAATGCGATACGCTGGAGTAGCTTGCACTACGACTAGAGTGGAGACTGGAGCGGGTTATTCCGTTTGTTGTTCCTGTGAAAGAAGAGGTTCACTTTAGTCAAAGTAAGTCTTAAGGCAGAGCTCTCGTTTTCAAACAACAAAAGTACCTGCGCAACTTTTAAAGCAAGACCGAGACTTAGGCGAGTTCATTTAATCAGCCTTACCAGCACTAGATGCTCTCCCCTGTATGCCGACCTTCTCCTCTCTTCCACTCCGAGGAGATCCAGCACTCGATGGTCGACGAGAATGCTTCCCAGTTTCCGTTTGATCGACTGGCAACGCGGGTTCGTCTTCTTCCTCGATTACATTTGCTGTTCGGTTCCATTCCTCAATCTAAGATAAAAATAAAGACCAAGTTTGTAACATGTTATTACCTCACCTAAGGTTAAGGTAAGATTGCAGTTAATTAAATACTATATATATATATGAAGTTTATATATTTTGAACTGCGGTATTAGATACGTATGATGCATGATCCTCGCAGTAGAGAGCGCTATTTATGCAATAGCAAAAATCAGACCTTAAAAAAATCAGCCCTGTACGGGATTCGATCCACTGACCTCTGCGATACTAGTGCAGCGCTCTACCAATTGAGCAAACAAGCCATTACATTGTATCTGATTTATCATCACGGGTTTATTACGAATCAACTTAACGGCCTGCTCCCAGTTGGCTTGGTAGAGCGCTGCACTAGTATCGCAGAGGTCAGTGGTTCGAATCCCGTACAGGCCTGATTTTTTTCAGGTCTGATTTTCGCTATTACGTAAATAGCGCTCTCTACTGCGAGGATCATGCATCATACGTATTGCAATTAATGTTAGTGTATTTTCACACATTGCTTCAATGGACTAAAAATCGCTTGAAACCTTCTACTCTTCTTGTATCCTTTGTATTATTTTACCTTGGGTAGAAACTTAGTCAAAGTACATGGAATAAAACAGTAGTTTTTGATTGGCACATTTCAATGGTGAGCGCGCTAGACTCTGGAAGAGAAATCCGGGTTCGTGCCCTTTTCGGTATCATTCTTTTAGGTTCTCACAGTACAACGACCCGGCAGGAAAACCGAGGAGGAGACATTCTCCTAAAACCTGGAAATAAGGGAAGGTGCGTTGAGATCCAAATGACTTGCAGCATCTACCGCTGTTTTGCAGAAGTTCACACGCCACTAAGAACTTTTCCCCCTTTCTCAAACCCATTTCCCTTTTTAAGTCTGTCAGTGTGGTACCTTTCCATCAGGACTCGCGGCTAAGCGTTGTGCCTTGGCCGCAAAGTCTGGCGTCGTTCCTCTGGATGAACCCAGCTGGAAAGGCGGCGAGGGACTGCGACTGAGTCTCAATCTGGGACTAGGACCTTGTCGATGATATCGACCAAAGCCTACGTCAGCATTTAAGATCTCGTCAAGATGGTTTGGCGTCGAGCCGAGAGCTAGTACAAAAAATTGTTTATTAGGAAGATGTAATTGAAGTGCAAAGTTTTATCAGAAGGTATCAGTTGAACTTGATGGCTTCCAATCATCCGCGATTTAGACAGAAAGTTGATATACTTTTGATATACTTTTAAAGGAGATGCACTGGGGGATTTTGGAAAAGATAGTAACGTTGGTAACTGTCAGTAGCTAATCAAGTTCCAGACGGATTTCTAAACGATCGCCAGAAAAATGAAAAGTATCATCAATAGTTTACAGTAACAAAACTAGACTCGATTTAACTCATACATCATTTGTGATCAAACCAATCGCTTTTGATCTCGTTATTAAAGGAAAACGGAGAACGCACTAAAATTTGCCTCGCGACTAAAAGTTTGCAGACTTTACACGCTTAAGGCAAAAGGCACACTATACAATTTCTTAAATAAGATAACCAAGGCAATCTTTCTTTCATTTTCAATAAGCACAGACCAAAAAACAACAACGACGCTTATATATACAATTATTTATCGAAAATGCCTTCCCGCGATGGCATCTGAGTTTCTTACGATTCATTCTATTTAGTTGACCAATCAACTTTTCTTCATTCATTTTTACATTTTACGTTGCAGATTTAAGTCGAAGAGGTGCTCTAATTAGCTAGAAACAGTGTTCAAGTCTGCCACTGACCTCTCAGAAGAGGGGGTGGTTTACCACTTGTAATCCTGGGGTTGGCCCTCGGTGACTCCAGGGCGGGTGGGATGGGAGCTGTTTTGGGTCTTGATATCGAGTCTTGAGCTTCGTGGGAAGTAGAGCCAAAAGCCATACTCGGCATGGATGGCGAAAATGTAATGGCGCTGCCTCGATTTGTTCTTGGTGATTTGGGCGATGAAAAGTTGGCGATGTCTTCCAAAGTTTCACAACTAGAACGAGAGAATATTGTGGAAAGGAAGGTAAATATAAGGTAAACAACGACGGTAGTAGACCTACTAAGGCCATCACTTTTGTAGGGTACTGATCAGAACTTTGGTAATAGCACAAAGATCCTAAAAGGGTCTCTGAGATGCATAGCAACTGAAAAGTTTAGAGTCACCTCTTGCGGAAAGAAAATTCACCTAAAGGGTGCGAGAGAAGCCTAAGGGCGTGTTCCCTTGCAAATTAAGGCTTGAAATTCAGTTCCCTTTTTCTTAGCCTGAGAATGATAAAAGGTTTAGCAAGTGTGCCCTTGAAAAATTCATTTCAGGTACCCAAAAAATTCCAGCGAAGAAGCTTAAAAATCACCACTCCTCTTTATTCTACTTTACTTTTCAATTCTTGGAGTACTTACCCCTCCACCCCAATGTCTGGCATGTGATCGGAGGAAATAATTCTGTGTTCTAAGTGTTCCTTGTTGTGACTCCACCCAGCTGATTTGCCGTATTTGATGTAGTCTTGTATTATACCAGTTATCTCATCATCATCATCCAGAAATTGAGAGTAGTGAGATGTAGCGTTGGTAGAGTACGAAGTCCTTGTGGAAAATGGAGTTTGTGATCGAAATCTTCTGTGAGAATTATGGCCACTGAAAATACAAAGAAAACAGGTCTTGATTAAAGTGCAGTAAACCAAATATTTCTTTAAGTTTTAAGCTTTCAGTGTATTTCAAAACGTTGAGAGGATATTTTAAGGATTTTGAATTCCAGAACTTGGCAGTGAAGGCCTAGGAATGTTTAATCTTGAGAACAACTCTAGAATGCCGTGACTGGAAGTCATCTTCTTTACAGCTTCAAGTAATGGTAAAAATGTGTTGACAGACGGGTTGTTGACAGGCTCACTACTTTTTTGGTTTATTCTAAAGTTTTAAATGTTAATCTACCCTGAGCAAGTAATTATATTTTTTCAAAAAAATTGAGATGTCATTAGGAAGCTCTTTAAGATTATGAACAACAAATGTGTGTCATCTGACTTCTGTATTGCATACCTTGTTTTTTTAAGTTCTTCAAGGTAATAATCTGGATCAGCTCCTGGCTGAACATTTTTATCAGCTGTCAAGTTTTCTGAGTCAAGGTAGTGAAGAAATCTCAGGAAAGATGCCTTATCTCTCTTTGGTTGTTCTCCTTTTCCCGATGCTTCCTTTGCATAGTCTGATACTCCTTCCCAGGCTTCCTCTTCCTGTATAGATATAACAAAGTGATATTTTATCATCTGAAGTCAGCTTTGAAAGAGATACTTTCATAGTCAAAAGATTTTATTCTAGCTCACAGAACTAGCACCTTTTTTTTGCAATTTTCAGGCAAACAAAGGCAAGCTTGAGGAGACTGCAAGGCACAAGTCATGTGCAACGAGAGGAGCATAAAAGGCCTGCTGGGCAGGCTAGATCCATTCCAACATCTGCCTGCTATACCTAATCACTCATCAACCAGATACTCACTATACTCACTAAATCTCATAATCTTACCTCTTTCCCAAACTCAAGCACAGAGTTAGTAAGATTTCCCATTGTTCTCAGTCTAAGGCCTGCCTCATAAACATTTTCCTTCTTAAAGTGGCTCTCTTCATAACCATGGTTACAAACCTCATCACTTGGAGTGAAAAGTAGAATTGCACCTTTACGAGTGACAAATGTCTTTGGGAGAGCAAGTTGTCCATCTTCCAACAAGAAGCTGCCACTTGATCTTGCTGATTTGTTACGAGACGATGTATGATTTATCAACTGAGGTAGTAGTGGCTCTACAGGGGACTGGTATCAACAACAATATTAATCAGCATGTATCAAAATAAAATCTTGTGCTGGGTCATTAAATAGATTATGAGAAAAATTTTCATCTATTTGTGAAGGACAAGAGACAACACTTATAAACTCTGAGTCTATTCCTCATCTCAAGGCACTCTGTTTTTTTCTTTATCCTGGGCTCAAGAAATATATCTTATTAACCAAGCGCGAGGGCTGTACTGGGAGAATATTGGCCCGAGGTCTTGACAGTACGGACC